TGTGGAAATTTATGGCTCTATGCAGTTTCCCGATCAGCCTCGAGATTTCAAGCTTAAGAATAAGAACCTGTGCCCTAAATATAATTCTCTTTACTCGTGCCTTGCCCTTCTCTGATTTTTCTGTCTAAAATCATCGATAGGGATAAGATGCTGTCAATTTTCATGGATCATCTATTTAGCTTTACTTTAGGTAGATATTTTGATTTTCCTGTAAATACACCTGTTTAAGAAAATAAGAACACGAGCTATCCGGCTAAGTTAAAAATCAAATTCAAGCTGGTTAGCTATTAAACATAAATGAACTTAACCATGCTTGGGAAGCTGAACTCCATACAACTAGACAGTTGCTGAATATGACTCAGTGTTCCCCAGAGTAGGGAAAAAACAAGCCACTTCCAGTGCAGTCGGAGAAATATCACTCTGTACATCAGGCTTGAGGTGGGTTCATTTTACGTATGGGGAAAAAGAATGAAAGAAGGAGAGGAACCTCAGCCAATTGCAGGTTTTTAGGTCATCAAATGGTTCTTGCTGCTCAACAGCAGTGGGATATTTTATAAATGTTAGTCTACACGCCTTTATGTGCAGACACACTTTAATGGATTCCTTCAGGGGTTTTGGGGCATGGTAGAGGTGGAAATATAGGACTTTTGGTCTGTTAATTTAGCTCAGCAGTCAAAGCTCTCAGAACAACAGGGGACAGACAGTAGAAGTGCAGCAGGAAAGGATGGGTTGTTTTGCCTGGAAAGCACTTATGAACAAGACCAAAATCACATCCATCCAAACAGCTGGGTGCTGGTGGGTCCAATTTGCTGTAGGCACCCACACAGCAGCACACGCACGTTGGCCAGAACCTCAGGGTCCTGCTGCCCTCCCACTCCCTACATGCGCTGTGGTCCAGGGCAGACCCTGCAGCCCTCCCACCGGTGGCACGTGGCCTCAGGCAGGTAACGATGAACCCCCAACACCTCATTGTGAAGGACTAAGACACTGTGGGGGAGAGCGAGTACCTTTATAGCTCCAAAAAGTTCCACCAACTATTTGGACCCAAACTATTTCACAGAACCTGAGGCTGAACCGAAAGGATACGTTAAGGCAATTGTTTGTGCTTACTGGGTTAGGAGGATATCAGCAGTCAGGGGAGGACAGTCCAGAGCTGAGCAATGTGAAGACTAGGAAGCCTTTTGTTGGAGATTTTCAGAGGAAGAGCAAGCTGAGAGAAGCTGCTATTAAAGTAAAAATCACAGAAATTAAGGACAAAAAGGAGCCTGATTTTCTAGTTAACAGTTTGCAGCGCATTGCTTAACATTCAGTAATATGCTAGGTAGTAGGCAGCTCTTCACCGAAAGCAAACCTGCTCCAAAAGAGGGGACGCTGTCGCAACTTAACCATGAAGGGCTTCTGCCTTGCTGAAGAGCGTGTCGGATCCCAGAGCAGCAACTTGGCCACAGCCAGTCACCAGCACCAAGAGGGGACCAAAATGGCAGGATGCAGCAGGCACAAGGCAAGAGTGTCCAATGCTGTGAGCAACATATGCATATGGAGAAAAATTCTTTCCAAGCTGGTAAAGTGTTTCCTCTCTTATTGCTCTTTCAGTTATCTGGCTGTTTATTCAGAGCCCATTGTGCTCTCACTGTAGGGTCTGTTTCCAAGTTATAGTTTTGACCAGTGCAAAAGAGGCTGTGATTGAATCCTATACAGCAAGAAATGAACATTGGAGACCCTGTAGACTCACATTTTGCTCTTTCAAAATGCCAGTTGTAGCAAAGAAGAACCAAGTTCCTCATCCCAGACAGAGGTATCTTTGAGAGAGAAAAAACATTACAGGCCCTAAGATACATGAATATCGAATAGCGAGGGCTATTATAAGGCTTACGGGATAGGTAAGGAAAATTGCTTGACTGCTTGGCCTTTCGTTGCAAGAAGTGGAAGAGAAGGAGCATTCACGAAATCAACAGCAAGGTAAAACCAGCCAAGGAGTATGTGGGAGAAACATAGCTACAGGGCCACGCTCATCTCCAGGGCAGTTCCACCGCTCTGTTAACAAAGGGAGAAATACTAATCCAGTATGATTAATCCAGTCTTTTTGAGGGATAAAAATACCCCTTGTCTTTCAATTGAACTGAGTCCTGGAGGGCTGGTTACCAGGATGGCTAGTGCTTCATTCACCAGGAGGCACAGGCTATCTAACCTCCGTGCATTTATGAGTTTTCAGCTGGTACGTATTTCCCCCACTCACAGAGCTGTAGTTAAACAAATAAGATTAGCTAAGACATACGCAATTCTTTGGGGCTCTGCCAGACCTTCTGCCAGGTCTTATAGTGTCAACCCATTCATTTCCTTCTGCTTTCTGTTCGCACTGATGCCCTGGAACTGGAAACCCACCACTAGAAACCTCTCTCGCTGACCCCATATCCATTAAGAATAATTGTTGATACCCTATAATGGAATAGCAGCAGCACAATTAAAACAGATTCTTATTGGGACAGAGCTTTGACTGGATTGGCAAAGACAGCCAGGTGGCATCTGGAGCCCAGACGAGATCCCTGGCCCCATCCATGAGCCTTGGCAGTCTCTGCCGCAGGTTTTATCTCTCCGCAGCAGCATGCAAGTCTGACACTGTGTGGCACTCACAAGTACTACACAGCCAGCCACCAAATGAAGCAAGAGCACGCTTCTCTCTCCGCTTCGCCACTGCAGTGCCAGCTCCTTAGACTTGGCTCATTAAATATGTTTGCTCCTTCCTCCCTATTTTTTTATTCTTCTTCCTCCTGCCCCAGACTACCTCAGAGGAATGGTTTGCATTTAATCCAAGTATGTCTGGCACCAGATTCCTTTTGTCCCTCCCAGAGAGTCAGGAGCATTTTGAGTTCTCATTGAGCAATAAATAAGGATTTGGGCCATATTTCTACGTTCACGTTGTGGAGTCCTGGCTGCCCAATTTGAGCTTTTGACCTTAAGGACTTTTATGGCAAGGAAGGGAGGATGATGCCCCTTTGTCAAAACCTTTCTTTACATCAGCTGTTCATCGTGACAAGTGAGAATGGATAGCGATACTTTATCCCAGGAAAGCAGAAACACTGGTTGGAGTCAACTGAATAAATTTATAAATACTCTCAACTTTCAACAAAAATGATCTTGATTGAGCATGACAATCACAGGCAAGAGGGGAGAGAAAAGAGGAAATCTACCTATCTACATAAAATAGGGTTTTGGGCCACCACCAGAGTTGCCATTGCAACTCCTGCCATAGGGGCAGACACAATGATTACTGAGGAATCCCAAGGGAGCAGTCCAGATTTTCAGTTCATTTTGCAATGGCAAATACCATCTTCCGTTCATGGCATGGAACAAACGGGGAGAAGGAGAGCTTTGCCCAGGTTTGCAGCTTTCAGTCTCCATGTGCATGGAAGAAATTAGTTGCATATGATGTGATTCTGGTGATATAAAGCATGTTTCTACCTGGGCAGCAGAGCATGGTGTAGAGCGCCCCAAGCTATTGATGACCTCAGCTAATACAGTCAACTGCAACTAAGCACTTCAGTGATTAGTCATCAGAGTCATAAGACAGGATGTCAGGCTCTTTCAATACCCTGAATACCATAGCAACTCAACTCAAGGACAGGAGCAAGAGGAGAGGGAGAACAGGGTAAATATCCATCTCAAAGATCTACAGGAGGTTTAATTAGCAAATGTATCATTGAAAGAGCAGTGGCACATGCACAAGCAGTAAGTTTGCACTTCTCAAAAGAACAGAGCTGCTTCTTACAGCCCCTCCCCTGCTCAGACTCCTCATCTGTATTTATAGGTAGTCACGGTGACCAAACTCTGACAGAGTTTTATGTCAAGCCTCATGATTACTATAATACATGTGAATAGAAAACGTCTCCCTTGGAACAGCATTTTCCTGATAGGGAGATGACCACCTTTTGGTTTGGACTACAGCCTTTCCCTTCCCCTTCATGCCTCAAATGCTTTCTCTCACACCTTTTCGCACAGCCTGGAGCCAGCCAGTTGAAGCATCAAAAAAATTAATTTTTTCCTTTCTCCTCTTTGGAAAACAGAGTGGGGATGGATCCCAGACAGCTCTGCTCTTGGTGAATGAGATTTTTCTCAACTTTCGAAAGTAATTCTGCTTTCCTCTGTTCCCACACATCCTTCCTCCACACATGCTTCTCCTCTATCCCAGATGCTAGGGTTGGAGGCAAGTAAACCCCATCTGTCTTAAATCCAACAGGAACTACTGTGGCAGAGTCTGCCCTGCTTCATTTCTCATAAACATATACTAATGAGTCTTTCTATAAAGCCCTCCAGAACTACTGTTACAATGCTGCTGGAGAAAACTTTCTTTTGGCCTAGAATCAGCGAATGAAGTTTATGCCGAAGGGGAATTTGGCACAACAGCAACCTATCTGCATGACATGTGAATGGTAGTAGAACTGACGTTTTCCCCTACTGCTAATATTGGAGGAAATGTGAACAAGCAACCTAGAATAGAGCATTGTTTTGTCTCTGATTTTCTCCCCATCCAATACATGCTTTAGAGACTTTCTGCAAAACAGAAATATTTGTGCATGGTTTTGCACTTAAAAGCATTTCCAAGTTATAACTGAGTACATTTCCCTCAAACCAAGGTATTAGGCTAGGGGCTCAGGAAAATAATGTTTTAGGTGAATGTCTGCGGGAAACAGGAGAGCTGTCTGGAACAAATTCTTTGGGGAACACCCAGCTCAACACTCTTGCTGAAGGGGATCAAGTGAAATTACAAGACTAGGAAAACTAGAAACGTGTCTTGAGAGGTTAAATGCAAAAGCGTGATTGTTTTTCTCAATTACGCTAGTCTTACTTTGTGAATTCAATATTTGAGAGGTGCTTATTTCTGAATTATACTGAGATGAGCAAGAGGATAAGTCAAAGAAACCACTGAATCAAAAATAACCCTTGTATATAGTACATGCAACCCAACTGACTTAGTACAACAAATTCTGTACACGTTTAAAATATCATGAAAATAGTGTCTTTAATATACAGTTTATATACTTACAATACACTGTTTAAATTTGTTCATATACATTACAGGGATACTTATTTGCACCTTGTTTAAATAATAATCTGCCTTCAGCCTTTTACACAAAAGTCCAAAACAGCACAGAATTCCACAAAAACCATGCTTCGTTTTATAACGGAAATGTACTAAGCCAAAGTTCTGGGGCTTTCTCTTTTTTCCCCCCCAAAGTTACTTTTTTGACCTACCCAAAGTGAATCTAAAGACCTAACAACTAACAAATAATTCTTATTTTTAATATAATTCAGAAGATTGTCCAAGTCAAGAGAATCACTGCAGATTTTTACTCTGAAAATTTGGTTATTATGCGCAGAAATGGTAAAATCTGTACAACTCCTGGATTACTAGGAGTTTAAGACAGAACAAAACAGGAGTCATTTTTTGCTAGGCCTGAGCAAGGGGTCTGAATTTGCTTGCCGCCCTGACATCCCTAGTAGCACAAATAAAATGGACAATCCCTCACTGTGATTAAGATTTCATTCGTACCTTCCAGTTCGTACATGGGAACACTGCACCTTTCAGAGCATCAAAGAGATGAGCCAGCAGAGCTGGGCCAAGCCTTTGCCCCTTCCCATAGGGCTGGTGTTTGGCTTTTACATAATGTGGTGCGCTCCTTATGTGGCCCACAGGCAACAACAACCTGCTGACCTGTGTTGCACACAGGCACCCACTGGGCATGGTGTCCTTGACTTTCCCGTGTGCACCCATGTCACTACCATCAGACAAATAACTGGTTCCAGCTCACTTTATTTAGCATGGTGACAATCAAGGAGTTGATTCAAGAAGAAAACACAGGAGAAAACACTTCAAGTATTTATACACAGATTTGAAATATGGTGTTTTTTAAACAGTATTGCTATGTACACTGTGTCTCTTGAAGCTGTTGTTGTGGAATAAAGTCAATTAAAGTGGCAAGTAAAACTGTTGTATTGCAAAAAAACTCATGTAATATACAGTTACTTCAATCCCTTGCTTCTGGCTGCAAGGAATGCTTCAAAACACATTTTCCTTCTAATTTTAGATGGACCAAATGTTTTCTGTCTCTAAATTTCTAGCCCTAAGCTATTTTTATAATACAGCAAGAATACGAATGCAAATATGCACTTTGACTTGATTTCAATACAGCTTTGGTTAGCCAGAGAGGCAGCAATACAGAAGAATCTTAATCCTAGGCACAATGAGTATTTAAAGGAAAACAGCATTTCCCCTCAAGTCTTCTCCTCATCCCTCCCCCTGCCAATGCTATTACCATTTCTGCAAAATCCCTCGTGCTAGAATCCAGTTCTCAAAGCTGAAGGAAACGTCAGTACTCGTGCCCTGTGAACGTTGCATAGAAAGGATATATTTCCTGGTGCAAGATAAAAAGACAACTCCATACATAGTAACATTCCAGATGTTCTGCTACCAAAACCCCCAGACAAACAAAAACCCCAATGACAACACACAACTTCAAACATTGATAACTAAATAAACATCAGATGCCTTACATTTATTTAACATGAGAAAAGAAGTCCAGGCTAGAACTAGCCTATTTCAGCAGTGTCTTCAAAAAGTAAAAGAAGTTAGGCCTGCTCTTGCATGACACACATTGTCTGAACTTGATGGCTACATCTCTATTAGTAAATAAAATGGACCAGGGACTTTTCTCAGCCCCAAAGGACAACTAAGACAGCTCACATGGACATGGTTAAACTCCATTACTCCCCAAAACAAGACTGGTTTTATCCAACTTGCTATTTGGGAACAGCTGGGCATTGCTATCCTCTCACCCATGCTTGGGAGCTGTCTGGGATCTGCCATTGTGTAGGCTGCTTCATTTGCACCTAAACCACGCAAGAGCCCACACTAACAGTTTGACAGCAGTGGAGTACCATGAGAGAGCGCCCGCGTCCTGGTGTTGTTTAGGTGACTAGTAAAGGTGTAACCAAGCAGCACGGATAGTCTCTGAGGCCAATAATAAACCCCTGGATAGGTAGGAAAAAGAGCTAGTACCACTTCCCAACGACAAACTGAAGTCTGTTTAATATAAACTTACTTGCGTTCAAAATACATATCTAGCTAAGTACATCATTTAGACCAAACACTAAAAGACCATGATCTGCAACCTCTTTAGATTCAAAAAGATTTCAGTAACACCCATGAGTACACTGAGTCGTTAATAAGCTCTCAAATCACAGTGTCGCCCTTAAACACAGACGAGAAATTACAAGGCAGATCTGCTACAAATTACACAAAGTCACACATGCTTCAAATTCATTGAAGGCGAGTCTTATCAAATGCTGAGTGGTGTCTCCTCCTATTGACTTCAGCTGGTAGAAAGTTTATATCACAGGGATATTCCCCAGAGCTTTCAGACACTCTAATCACAGTGGAAACATTAAAGCAACTCCCTGAGGGAACATTAAAACAACTCTCCCTCTTGAAGTACCATACGTAGTGTAGCATTTTGTAACTTTTTATAGATTTAAACCTCTAGGTTTGACGCCCCCATCTTTCTAAAGGGACCACGTATTGCTCTGCTCGGGCTGAAAGGACTTCTCTGCTTCTGTCCCATTTCAGAAATGCCACCATTCCGTCAATGCCAGGGACTTTTGGTCAGACTGGTCCGTTCAAATCAGTCCGCCATATTCAGACTGCCGTCTACAGCACCAATGGCAGACCCGAGCCCCTACTACCATGGCAGCTAAGCTCAAGAGGAAAGTGAATAAATTAGATCCCATCCGTCTCAGCGCTGCCATATCCTGGCTTCCTCCCCCAGGTGGTGGAGAGGTGTAAGCCAAGCTATTGGGCTGGCTGGTTTGCTCGTTACTGTCTTGGTTATAGCGGAGCAGACACTGAGGCCCATCCTGGGCATCAAAGCAGGTGGCTCCATGCCACAGTCATATCATTCGCATAATACAGCGGTTAGAAGCACCTAAACCACTAAAAAAGGCTTGGAAAAATTAAGCCGCTGAGCTGCTAATGGCAAAGTAAAGGTCAAACACTAACATATTATGCATAAAAATAGGCAAGCAGTGCCAAATCAGAATAAGACAATTGCAAGGACATTAATAGCAAGTTTGCAATTTTGAGGTTTTAGCCGTAGTTTGGCATATATGACCCGCTTCTGAAATCATTACACATCCTGTACCTTTCTATTGGCCAGTTCTATTTTGGTCTATGCACATGCGATTTAAATGCTGCAAACGCACAAATGCAAATTCCACCAGGCTGTTTGCAACAAAAATCATTCCAAATAGGTAAAGCAGAGAGCATCAGTTCACAGTTAAAGAATACTATTTTCTGAGGGACACTAATATCCCAGGGCTCTCAGAGATGTTTAATATTAATATAATCAAAATTGCAATTTCCTTTTTTTATATATATACTTTTTTCCCTGGAATTAATAATCCAAGCAAAACAGAGAGAGATATTTGATGTTTAAAATTTGGCCCTTTCAGGGCTGATATTCTTTTGGGTTAAAAAGCAATGATTTTAAGTTGCGTGTGCAACAAGCACATACATATGAACAGTACTTGAATTTGATTTAGTCTAACTTGTAGTTAAAATATTTTAAGATGCTAAGTAAAAAACATCCAGGAATAACTATTGATCTATTGCTAAAAGTCAATACATTACAAAAAACAGGAAGACTATGAATGCCTGGGGTTTCTACTAGGGTACTTTTTGGCTTACTGCAGTCTAGTACCTATATCAATTGGAATTTACTTTCTGCTTAAGAACTGGTGGTATGCACTATTGCAAGACAAGTAAAACTTCATGTCAACGTAGAGACATGCCATGAAATTTGCCCAGGTCACAAAAAACTCCATTTGCAGGCATGCTTTTTTAAAAATGAGTCAACATTGTTGAGAAAACAGGCAAAATCAGCCTTCCATTTTTGCCCCCTGCTCTGTTTTTCTTGATGCTCTCACCATGTGCCCTACAATGGAGGGAGAGAGAATCTTTATACTACAAAAACGTAAAAATTGCAGATGAGAATCTCACCCCAGCCAGGGCTCTGCTCAGCAGGTGAAGGGGCCAGCCAGAACAGTGTGAAGCCACTCTGGCATCCCTGGCACTGGCCCCCTGAGGATCCTCTCAAATGAGGTGTGGAGGATGGAGTCTGGAGTCTACAGATTGATTTCTCACCATCTCCACAAATCCTTGCATACAGTACTTGGCCATTTCTGAGAGCTCTGCCAGCCACAGGAAAGCAATAACAGACTATTGAGTTAATGGGTTTCTAGCTTTCTGAGCAGCTAAATTTGAAAGGGCTCAAAGGGCAGCCGAAGGCCCCCTTCCCATTTCTACATTCACTTGACTGCTATTTCTGTGCAACATCTATTGCAGCAGTGAGTTTTTGCAACCGGGCAATTGAATTAAAGTGTCTTAAGATGCTAGAGATCCTTCCACTTTGATACCCTAAGTGACAACCCACACCCTCCTGGCCAACTGCAAACAAGGTAGGTGAAATTTCAAACTTCTCAAGCATTTCCCAGAGGCAAGGCTCAAATTCTCACTTGGCCCATTCTCATCTGTATGGCATGTGCTGCTTCTGTTCCTTTCCATCTCCTTAATGTTTTATTTCAAGGGCATCCCACAGGAGTACTATCACCTGCCTACACAGATCCGATCGCATGAATAGGACAGGACGTGGAGCACATTTTCAGATGCTCACAACCACAGCAGAGGAAATACAAAGGGTTTCTTTTTGCCAGAGCAGGGCCAGTGGAGCTGGATGAACAAGAAGCCACCTCTGACTTACATGCTCATGGCTGTGACAGGCAGGATCTGCTGAGGGAAGAGTTTGTGAAGAGAACTGCCTTTCCCATGAGAAAGCTGCACAACCAGAAGTCCTGCTACTTATTCCAGCCATCTGACTACAAAAGCAACTTTTGAAATCTACAGGTCATAAACTTTTAATTGGCCAGAGCAGAGTGGCTCAGTATGAAAATCCCCCCTTCTCCCCCTCTTTGGGCAATGAACTAAACCAGACTTTTGTTTTAAAATATTTAACTCTTTTTGCTCAAAGTAACATGAAAAACGTATCCACGTTACAGGTAGTCAGGAAGATACTGTTAATAAAAATATGCAGCAAGAACAGCGTATTAGAAGCACTTCACAGCAATTCTTAACATTTTCAGATGTAGTGTCAAAAAAGATGTTTTTGTGTATCTGAACATACTTTTTGTTAATAGAAAAGCAACAAAAAAAAATCACAGCATGTTGCCAAATATTACTTGAACAGAAATAATCCCTTAAGAGATATATTTTTGCAGTTAACACAAAACTGTAAACTGGATTGGTGTGTGTCTTTCAGCATCAAATTATTCAGTAATAAATACGATTAAGTCTTAACAGACTACAGAGTAAAAATTCCCTTAATGTCCAGTTTTTAGCAGCTGTTGAATGTTCAGGGATGCACAAGGCACACCTCTGCAGATTCTCTACTTTTATTATTGACATACAAAAAAAAAAAATCTGTTCACCGCTCAAAGTTTTATCTGCATAGTAAGAATTCTTCTACTACTATTTACATGAAGGGCTTTTAGTGCAAAAAACAGGAAGTGATGTATTAGCTGAAGTGCATCTAGCACACCTCGTACAGTTTCATTAAAAACTAGCCAGCATCACATTTTTGGCCGCCAGCCGTTAATGAACTGCAGTATTTTCTTAACCTGCAATTTGCTTAGCTTAAAGTCTTCTGAAAGGATTTCTTCTGTAAGCTGAACCAGTAAATTGCCGTCAATCTTCTCTGTAACAAAAAAAGATATGACATCTTCTGATAGACCAATAAACCTCAGTGATTTAGACACTTCCTCTATTGAGAGTCCAGAAAGGTCCGTGGGTGGCTGCCAGGGAGAGCCATCCCCGCAAGACCTTGGTGCTAACTGGAGGTGGAGGGGAGACGAGAAAGGATAAGACAGAGAGAAAGTGTCCTGCACACCCTTTTTAATGAGATACTGATCTTCCAAGAGGTCTGGTGAACCAGTTTTGGATTCCTCCTCGGCACCATCTATTTTTAGTGGCAAAGGACACGTGTCTAAAGCTGGTTTCTCTTCACCTGATTTAGGTGCCCGAGGAGGTAAGGCAGGACACGAATGACTCTGCTTTGCATTGCTGACCGCCAGAGTTTTCTCATCAGTGCATTCTAAGGAGTAACTGGCTGACTTTGGACAGGCCGAGATGGTGTTAGTGAACTGTGCTGGCGTCAGCGGGCAGTACCCTGCGGGGAGCTCACACCCATCAAAGTCAAAAGTAAAAGGTGCTGGACAGTTTCTCTTTGGCGTGCCTGGAGTCTTCTGCCTGGGGTAGCTATAGCTCCTGCTTGGATCTAGCAGGAAATCATTCCTGTTTAGGCCTTCAGCAGTTCCTGAAAAATGGTTTGGCCAAGATAACCTACAAGATAGAGCTTCAGCTGAGGGGCTTCCAAAAGGCATCGTGCTATTGGGCTCTTTGGATTCGGTTTTCATCATGTTACAAGGGTAGCAGGAAACAGGTGTGCTCTCAGTTGTGTTTGTGTTGTCGTTCTCTGTAACACTGCTTAAGGAACAAAGCAGAAAGGATACAGTTAGTACAAAAAATACGGCATTTAAGCAAACCCATAAATCATCTGAGAAAACCAGAGGGTGGCTGTCACAAAGAGAGAATCTTTTTCCCTGTGGGAGAACTTTTGAGATTTGAATTAACAATGCATTTGAACAATGTCTTTCTGCAAGCCTGATAAAATGTTTATATATTCAAAAAACTCATGAGAAAGACTCATGTCTTGGTTCTTTAAGCTCAAATAAAAAAGTAGCTATCTCAGTTCAGCTCCGTGCTACCTCCCAAATACTCAGTTTTTGCAGTCTAGTTCTGGAACAGCCTCACATATACCAGAAGTTTTTCTAACCCTATGTTTTCTATTTATGTACCACAAATGTGTCACGCTATGCAAAAGCTCATAAGAGGGACAGGTCACTATTGCATTAGACACAAGCCTGAGCCACCTAAGAGATGATCAAAAGCTCTTCTGAGGCCAACTGGCTTCCATCCAGGGCACAGGATGCTTCCTCAGAGCTCACTGGTGCAAAAAACGTAATTCCACAATAATGCAGAATAAGTTAATGCTTGTAGCCATAGGAAGACTTTTTTTTTTTTAACCTGGAAAGGTAAACAGATCTAGCTGTATGGGTTGAAAGATCATGCTCTAGGCTCACTCCACCATCAATTGTTTCTGTGTCCATATTTTAGAAGTTTTGATGGGAAAAATTGCTTTGCAAAGGCACCTAAAGAAAGTTACCCTGACCTACTTTCAAGTGGTAAATTAAGCTCAGCTTGTCCAAGGGAATTGATGTTTTATAGTCGGGTGTTCTCGAGAGACAGATGCTAACAGAGGCATGCAATCTATTAACAAAACTGAATGTTTGCTGCTTTTATGTCACTCTCTAGAAGAAAGCCTGAAGGACTAGGTTGATCTTTGGAATTCTGACCAATTAAGCCAGAATACTGGAAAAACAATTTACAGATTTATAAAATCCTCACCTAACATAATGAGAGGCAAATCAACAGTTGAAATAATTGTTTTAATTACTCATATCTCTCTCCTAGAAATTAGTAACCCAGGAAAGAAACTAGGTCATCATTCTGTGACACCTCCATGAAAACTGCTTGAGGAGGAGAACATCATTCAGAAAAAAAGCAAAGTTTTGAATGAATCGACACAGAAAGTAGTTCCCTGTGTGCTTACAGTGGCTCAAACAGGAAGCCAACCTGGGCTTGCCCTGCGCAAACGCAAAGTACAGATGCACAGGAGCAGCTCTAATCTGCATCGCTGGAAGATTAGAGGAGGAAACTGGGTCTGCTGGGGTGGAGTTTTATAACTATCCACCTATCCCTAAGTTTCCACTCCATGCCCTCTCAATCTTTCTTGTTTCCTGTTCATGTCATGAATACAAGTCTGCCACTTAAAGCAGCTGGATGTTTAAAACAGCAGAGATTTTTTTTTCATCAACAAGATACACTTTCAGCTGGTCGTTTCTGGCTGCTTAAAGGCCAACTGGTGTAACATACAGAGTGCAAAGTATTTTTTTCACAAATTTAGCCATTGGGCTGTTCAGTTCAGAGAAGACAGTCAATGAGGTGTTCACAATAACTAGCCACACAGAGAAATTAATTGATTGATTCTGTTTCCGTTCTCTAACCCAATATTAGAAATGGGAACATTTAATGATTTAAAAGAGTAATGGAATTACTGACAACCAATAAAAATAACATTTTCCGAGCACTTCCTTATTCATCCCTCAGCAAAATTAACCCTCTGGGATTCGGTGCCAGAGGATACAAGAGAAACCTCAAATACGGCTGAAGTCAGGCATCAGGCATTTTTACATGCAACTAAGGATAAATTACACTGCTTTTGTTTGTTTTTAAAATATCTGTTGCAACCATTCATGATCCAGAGAGTAACATGGCTGGTGAAGTTGCTCGTCAAGTCTTGCCAGTTTTATCAGTCATCAAGCTACTCCACAGATTGCCATTTTTCTAGCAGCTTCTTCCGCACCACTAGGTCAATGCCATAAAATGGAGATATCTGGTCTGGACCCAAGCTGCAGATGAGTTTCATATAAACTTTGCAAAGTCCCAGGCACACACATCATCTGCAAGCCTTAGAAACTATATTTCTCACTGTTTTCTTGGGAGGCATATATATTCTTAGCTATGAAGACAGGAAGAGGCATTTAGTGTGCACAAACACTGGGTGGGTCTTGTGCTCAATATCCTGCGCGGTAGACCTTGACAGAACTACTCAACAGGCATTCATAAAAATAAATGAGTAGCCTCAATTTAGAGTGATCATTGCCAGAGATGCAACAGTAAGCTGCAAGTAGTGTAGGACAGGCAACTTGAGCATAAGTTATTATATCAATGGCAACTAGACTGAAATAATTTCAATGGCATTTTTTAAATTTTCAGATCAATGCATGATACCCCAACAGGTAATAGTTTGTCACTTTCTTAGTAACAAAACTGAAGATATACCAAAATAATGGCAACAAATTCAAGTAAAAAATGAAGTAAGATTTCAAAAGGCATATAAACTTTCTAAAGCCAAAGGAAGAATACTGCACCGCTAAGAAAAGGTATGCAACAACCTAACTCAAAATCCACTGTCACCTCTCAACTCGCCTGAGTGGATTTTCCAGTTTGTGGATTAGTTTGTGCTGATGTGGATTTGATCTGGAAGATGTCTGGCCCCATTCCACTTCACATGACTTTGCACTTAATGGTGTCTGCTGACCTCTCTTTTCTTAATCTCACCCTGTCTGTAGTAGGTTCACATAAAGTTGGCACAATACGTTTCTGGATTATCAAACCCTTCCCTCCCCCCGCCCTCAATTATCAAGAGCTGGTTGTACTACTGTATGCCTGCAGCATTGATATCCCACCTGAAAACTCTCTCTGAGATGTTCTGCTTCGAACATTCAAAGCTATCTTCCTCAAAACTTTTGTTTTTTAATCAAGCATTACACAAAACTGTATAGGATTTTCCATTTAGGTATCTGTGCCAGCTTACCGACAGCAATACGTACAGGCATTTAATATAAAGTTATGTGCTATATAGTAAAGTATAGTCTCTGCTGGAGCTCTGCTTCCTCTTCAATCTTTAAATATAACTGGATAGGTTAGCTCATTTCAAGAAAAGTCAGAAACTCTGAAATGGCACCACACTTACAAACAAGCACCTTTAAAAAGAACACATCAGGCCGGTTTCAAGATAGCTAAATTTAGCTTTCTTAAAAAGAAAGGTGCTAGAATGAGGCGCTCACAGCTCAAACACATACATGTTGTGCAGTCCTGAAGAATAGTAGGATAGAGTGGGGCTAGGTGAACGGGTCTGCTGCCGTGCAGGTTTGACTGTGCGAGGAGGAATGGACGGACTGGTGGAGGAGGACGGCTTTGAACTCCGTGGTGGAACTGGGGGAGCATTCAGGAGCCTGCATTCCTCTCTCACCTGTACAAAATAAGAAAATGCAAGTAAACAGCTAGAAAATCTGGGCAACAGCACTCTGAAACAGATGAAACACATCAGCTCAAGCTTACTTTGTGAAAGGAAATAATTAAAAAGGGAGGAGAAGAACAGAATAATACTAAGTGTATACATTTACAACAGGATATGGCTGTCCTAAGGACCGCCTAAAGAATGCCTTTCTATGAGTGGTTACTCATGATCTTTCTAGGGTGCTTTTTAACAAATAGCTTGATGCCCACTCATTTAAAAAGAGGTAAAAATAAAACTATTTAAAAGAACCTTTCAGTAATATACAAAATCAGACTGCCTGTTCCAGATATTTTACAATCTGTAAGAAGAAATTCATTAGGCTTAAACTCCATTAATGCTGTTTATTTAGATGTAATAATCCAAGCTTGCAAAACGAAAAGATCTCAGACTTTGATGTTTCATGACTTATTTCAGCAGTGATACCCAGCCATTCAGCGAGAGAATAATTCCCAGCTTCCATCTCTCAGGAACAGTAGACATACCTCATTTACCAGCTACATTCACGGCATAAACAGCTACAGGAAAGCACTAAAACAGACTGGATTTTGGTTGCCATTTTCACTGTTTGCTGTTGCTTCTCCTTCACTCTTGGTCTAAGCACCCTGATGGGTGGGCTGATCTTGCCTTTCTGCTCACTGCCCAGCAGAGGGCACAGCTCACCAGCCATGCTCGCCATGCTCCCCAGCCCAGCACCGCACGACCAGCCTCTTCAAGCACAGAAAAAAATAAAACTTTCAAGGCCTATTTCTAATGCCCAATCTGACGAAGCATGAGTGGTGGAGTTATTTTTTAATATGCTAAATCATAAAAACCAAAAAGTAAAACAACCTTGCTTTTTCCCCTCCTCTGTGTGTACAAACTAAGAATGGACCAAGCCTCAAGCTCAGATCAGGAGACTGAAGGGCGTCCTGAGGTGGATGCTGGGATACAAACTTGGAGCTTCAGTCCTTCTGTAGCTCCCAAAGAGGAATTCCAGTTTAACTGTAAAATGTACAGGTTGAAAAGCACGGGGCAGAAGAGCCTCTTAAAATAATGCACCAAATTATTTGGATGGGTTGCAAGCAAAAGAATGTCTTGTCTCCAACCAGATTTCCAGATCACACAGATCTTGCTTCCAGGATCAGTGTTGAGGGATAGAGTTTTAAGAAAAGCAAAGGGTATGGATGGAATTATAAGGAAAGATCCAGACTTTTGCTAAAAGCTTCTGAGGTAGCCACACCGCATAAGGCAAAAACTACTTACGAATTGTACTACGAAAATACACTAGTTCATCTTTAGTCTACGTTTTTTCAAAACCAACTGTAATAAAAACTAGCAACAAAGCCAACAGGTTTACTTACTGCAGCCAGCTAATTTTTCTACCTAAAATGCATGACCACAGCTCTGCTTATCTGAAATTGAGTTTGGACCTGTCTACCCAGGAGTGAAATACCAGGATCCATCCCCATTCAAAAAAAAAAAAAAAAAAA